AAAAAAAAAAAACAAAAAAAAAAAAAAAAAAAAAAAAAAAACAAAAAAAAAAAAAAAAAAAAAAAAAAAAAAAAAAAAAAAAAAAAAAAGGAAATAAATTTTGGAGGGATAAGAAATCTAGCCCTTTTTTTTTTTTTTTTGAGTTAGAGATAAGATAAATACAAATAAGTTTTTACAATATTTTTTCTTGCTGAACCAAAATGCTAGCGAGAGGAATCGACAACTTCTAAAAAAAAACGCTAAAATATAATATATATATTCACGTAAATTGGAAAATAAAAATACCACTCGTCAAATGAAGTAGGCCAGCAATGTAAAGAATACCAATGCCCAAGAAGAAACAAATAATATATGTTATTCCAGCTCGTGCATGATTATGAAGTAGATGTTGTATGTGAAAAGATCATTTGACTCGAAAAATAATGAAATACTGTTCGTGTGATTCAGCAGTTGATATGTACCGTTTATTCGAGATTAATGTTTGTAAAGTAACAGATAACTGGGGCGGACAAAAACAAGATGATATATTTTGAAGTGAGGAAGCAGGAGTTGCATAGAGACAGGATGTGATTGATAAAAATGTCGAAGGATATGGTGGAATAGTAAGACCAAAAAGTCATGGTAAACAAAAGTAGGTAAAATGCCACTTAAATTGATATTGTCTTTATCCGGCCTTTAGAAAGAACAACAAAAAAATTGAGTCAGAATAAAATAATGAGACAAAAAGTACAATATTTCTTGCAATAAGCAGGTCAAATTATTTAATCTTGCAACTACCCTCTCCATATACATCTACAGGCTTGTAGCACTATTCTGGCTTCTCAATGTCTTACCACGTAGGGAATTCTTTAGAGCGCGCATGGCAAATACGGTTAATCCGATACCTTGCCAGTCTTCATCCTTTAGTGTTCGTAAATCGCCAACAGTCATGATATCTTGACTTTTTAGTTTTTCTGACCATTCATTTGCTTTTTCGGGGTCCTTATTTGTTGCAAGGGCAGCTTCACGAACAAATTCGTCAATTGGCGCATTATCTGGATATTCTGTAATAGAATTGTAATGGTATTTAACATAAGATTAATCATACGAGTACAACAAATGGGATTATTCAAATTCGGACCTTTAACGGGAATTTCATCATCAAAATCTTGATTCCAGTCTGCAGCGTGCCCACCAGAAAAGGAATTCTTCCGTGGCGGTTGTAATTGTGGATCTATCACTGTTTGCTGTTGTGATGACAACGTGCTATTTGGGCTATCCCGTTCAAGGACCATTCCCGAAGGAACAGGAGCATGAGACCTCTGGGGTTGTAAGTGAGGAGACATTCCCACATGAAAAGGTGGAGTTATTGCTTGCGCTGGCCATGATGTCTTGTGCTCTTCTTTATTTGATTCGTCCTCACTTGTTGATTTATTAATATCACGTAAAATACGATTTATCTCATGAGTTACAAGTTGTCGATACTGATTTTTAAGAACTTTCTCCTCGATCTTTGTAAATAGAATTAAATGAGAACATAATGGGAATAAAAGTTTCAAATATAAAATAGCAATAATTATGGTACGGTCATGTTGTTACTGCCATACCAAATTTTAATCAAATTTTAGTATGCAACTCGTGTTCTAAAACTAATAATAATTAACGCTAAAGAATTTTCACATAATACTAAAGGGAAAACCAAACTTGATTTATAACATCAAACGATAGTAACAACTGCCAGACGATAACAACATTACCATATGATATGAGGGTAAAAAATTGATAAAATAATCGAATCGAAGATCTGTCAGATGTATTGACTGCTACTGTGGCCAAAACCATCTTATAAGATATACAATTCGATGTCGTACCGATATTTTTTACCCACTACTAGATAACTTATAATTAATAATAATAATAGTAAGCTGTGTGTTAATTACCATTTCGTTAACGACCTGCTCCGCTGTATCTTTTTCAACGTTAAATACAAATTTAACAGATAATTTATCCATTCCTTTGAAGACAACTTGTAGGGTTAGTTGAGATTTTGCACTATTTGCAGTTAATAATACCACTTCTGGCTCCACTGCAAGAAATCGATGTTCCATTATTTGCTGTGCAGTGTACCTTTTATAT